ATAGGCCTGTACCTATGGCTCATTTGGATCACTTGCTCAGCTGATCTTCTGATCACTGTTTTGGAGGTAAGGACCACTGGAAACGAGTACATGACTCCATAGGAGTGAGTCGCGCTTTGATATTATGCTGTCATCAGTCCCATTGTTTCTGCTCGCTTCCTGCCAACGTTAGTCTCCATATTTCCAGTTAACAAACCTCTAAAGGAGTTTTCTATATTGAACAGTGTGAATTAGGGCTGCTCTGCACTAATTCTTTGAACAGATGTACTTCAGGCACACTTAATTAAAAGATTTACTTAATAAAAATTACTTGTATGAGGCACTACTAGAATTCGCTTTACAAAAACCACAGATTTGCTTAAATACACAGAAAAGAAGTTTTACTTTCATAAGCAATTCCTACACAATCAATTAGGTTCCTAATCTGTATGAATTTACCTGGTTTTAATTCTACATAGCTACATTGTAATTGCTTGGCCGACTACTATAGAGGACTTTTAAGACATGAAAACCAGTCTAAAATCAAAATAAAAGATGGCATGTGTATTATAAAACTGGAACATTTCCCTGAGATTGTCAAACACTGAACAGCAGCCTCAGCTACTCAGGGTGAAATATTACCCTGTTTAATTATACAAATCCTTGAAGTGTGGAAAATGAATCATGTCCCAGATGACAGATTTCTTTTTCTTGCCCCCTCAAAACACATCTATTGTTTGTTTGCTTACAAAATTGTTACCACCTAAGAACTGCTCCAGACAAAAGTTTATATTTTTCAGTTCTTTGACTCACTAGTCAGTACTTTATATATTAAGATACAGCATCAGCACAGAACATTAGCAGTTAAAATACAAATGAACAAATGTTATCTGTCCTTCTACATGCCAAAAGTACTGGCTGCATCTCCATTTTCAAATGTGTATTATTACTTTTTATCAAGCACAAAAAAAACCTAAAAATTTGAAGCTGATGGAAAGTCAGAACATTCTAATATTAATTAAATCCACTGCATTTTGTTTTGTTTCCAGTTATTTCCAAACTCATATTGTAACTTTAATAATCCATTGTTTTGGGAGTTTTTTCCTCAGCAATTTACATTAAAAAAAAAAAAAAAAAGATGATCCATTTTAAGGCTGTGACATCTTGCTGAAAAAGTTACCATTGAAGTTGTATTAGCCTGACTTGATTTCTGATTCATCTGATGATAGATATGGGTTTATGAATTTCAGACACCAATGCAAATCCACAACGAATGTCTTGTATATTCAACTAATGCTTTTCCATAAACATATAGGCTAAGAAAAAAAAATAAAGCTACAATCATCTGAAAACTTTGTCTAAATGACATGATTTATAGTACCACCTCACAATTCTTACTTAAACATCATACAATTTAGCATTTAGTCAACCTTTCTCTTCTTGTAATTTATAAGAGCAGAGGGGAAAGAGCATTCCTTGCCAACTGACAAACTAATAGCACCGCAACAGCTAACAGGGGTGACCATTTCTCCTTTAATTTGAACAATACTACAAAACAAAAGTTTTAGAAGCAGCCTATTTCTTCCACAGGAAACAAAATTACTCCAACATTAAAAATGAAAATAAATGTCCATAAACCAGAAAAAGTTACAAATTAAACACCTCCCTCTCTCTACTCCAGCTATTCTACCTCCATAAATGCATAACTGGCCCCTCCAAACAAGGGTCTTCTTCAAACCCACCACTGTCCATATAGTCATATATTCTCTTCCTCCTCTGCCAAGTTATCTGGGTCTACTTGAGAAGGAATAAAAAATCTCTGGTTTCTTATCCTTTCAAATGAGTTTCTTACCTGAGAAGCTGAGGGTCTCAGCCATTTACTTACAAATGTAATAAACGAAATGTACGTGACATGACACTGCCTTGAAAATCTTCCAATGTAATTCTGATTTTTAGATTAATAACAATAATAATAAGAAGAAGTGCAGTATAAGACCAAGGTCTTAATTTCATCAACTTTAGCATATACAACTATAACAGCAAATGAGTAAATTTTAGAGTAGTAGTACTTTGTAAGACTACCATTAGGAAAAAGTTTCTCATTTTTTGAGAAAAAAATTGGATTGTTTGTTATATTCAGATTACATAAGTTTAACTACTTGATGCAAATGAGAACAAGACCAATTCTTGCAACAGAAGAAATTGTGTTTACATTTAATTTCCATGTATTTATAACAAGTTATTAACCACTCTTCTTCCACAGGTACAACATTATGGGTTTTTTAAAAAGGGCTGTAGTGCTTTCTCACAGTGTTCATACATATCTGATACAAGCAAACAACAAAGTGCATTTGATCCTACTTTCAACAGTACTTAGTATTCAGTTCCAGCACTGTGAGCAATGTTTCCACTGCAACTGGTTTACTCTCCTTTTTACTAAAAGGTAGACTGCTTAGTAAATATAGGAAAAATAATTAGAATATTAATTACACTCAATGCAGCAATATTTAATCTCTTCTGTCATAACCATAGGGCAAGACTATTTTAAAGCATGTTGCAGCTTGAGCATAAACTGTTTTAGGTGTTGAAAGACTATTCAGACTCAGTCTTGCAAAAGCCTTTATGTGCAGGCACATAAAACAAATTCCTCTCTGATAAAGCTTTAGACAGCCAGGTTTGTGCCTCGAAATTTCCCTAGGTATCTACACTCTGCAGGGATGAGAACTCAGATGCATGTCCCGTCTTAACACTCTCTCTAACATGCTCTTCCACTGGCCTTGTGAGCTCGTCTCTGCAGCAGTACAATTTCAAAAGGAGGTTTACAGAGCGCCTCTCCCACTCATCCCCTTCCAAAACCTTGATGGTCAGCACAAAATTGTGGGTATAATGAAACAGGCACTTTATTTCTCTCTGGCAGGGCAGACTGAGACCCAGCATTCCATATGAGATCATCATGTTCTTTACTGAGAAAGCTGACTGTCCCACTTCAATTTCTCAGATCATCAACTCTTCTGGCTATAGCTGCAATGCTACTTTAGTAAATCACAGTGCAATTGCAAAAAGCACATATGAGCACAAGAAATAGTCGGTTGGCTGAATCAGTTCTGTGTATGCTTGGCCTGGAATATTTTATTTTGTTGCTCCAGCCCCAGGAAGGCTTTAAACCATGCAGAAAGCTTCTTTAGACACTGCCACAACAGTTAGTGTAGTAGCAGAGACTAGCTGCACTAATTCTTCAGCGGTCAAATATATGGTAAGCCTATATATCCTTCAAGTTGCTTTGTAAGAAGTTATCTTGAACACAAAAACTAACAGCTAAGCCACTGGTCCTGCCCAATCACTTGTACACTGGGGTTTTTTCCTGCTGACTTCTTTAAAATCACAGAATGGATAAGGTTGGAAGGGACCATAGTGGGTCCCCTGGCCCAATCTTCCTGCTCAAACAGGGTCATCCTATACCACATGGCACAGGATTGTGTCCAGACAGTTCCTGAATATCTCCAGTGAGGGAGACTCCACAACCTCCCTGGGCAATCTGTTCCAGTGCTTGGTCACCTGCACAGTAAAGAAGTTCTTCCTCATATTCACATGGAACTTCTTGTGCTTCAGTTTCCGCCCACTGACTACCGTCCTATTCCTTGGCACCACCAAAAAGAGCCTGGCTCCATCCTCTTGACACCTTCCCTTCACATACCTATGGACATTGATGAGGTCCCCTGTCAGTTGTCTCTTCTTGAGGCTGCATAGGCCCAGCTCCCACAGTCTCTCCTCATAAGGGAGTCCTTACTCCAGTCCCTTAATCATCTTTGTTGCCCTCCACTGGACCTGCTCCAGGAGCTCCATGTCTCTCTTGTACTGAGGAGCCCAAAACTGGACACAGCACTCCAGATGTGGCCTCATGAGGGCTGGGCTGAGGGGCAAGGATCATCTCCCTCGACCTGTTGGCAATGCTCTTCCTAATGCACCCCAGGATACCATTGGCTTTCTTGGCCTCCAGGGCACACTGCTGGCTCACGGACAGCTTGTTGTCCACCAGGATCCCCAGGTCCTTCTCCACAGAGCTGCTTTCCAGCAGGTTAGCCCCCAGCATGTGCTAGTGCAAGGATTGTTCCTCCCCAGGTGCAAGAGGTTTTTTTTAAGAAAAAATCATCAGCTCAGTTTTAATAACACCATCACTAAAAACTGTAATTGCACCATTATAAGCAAACATTTATTTTTTTCTTTCACCTTAAAAAATGTTACAGTGGGCTGCAACAAAACCTATATGTAGGTATAGAAGATGGTGGTAAGCTGGTTCAGTTCTAGCTCTGGAGTGGTCACATCCAATCAAGCAACAGCTCCACATTTGGCAGCTTATACTTTGCTTGAAATCAGCTTTCAACAACCTGAGGGCATGAAGACATCCATTAGTGTGTCTCAGTCATGGGCTGGACTTTTTCATCTTGGTGTTGCAGCTAACTTCACAAAGATGATCTACTCGCACACCAGCAAGCTGATAATATTTATGAAAAACTGAATGACTACAGTAAGAAAGATCCTCCTGGTGGTTTTGCTTTATATAAGACAGAGTAGCAGTAATGGTAACAGACAATGCTTTTCACTGTGGTGACTTTTTTGGAAGCTTTGAAATGGAATTTCTATTTTATTTTGCTGTTCATGACACAGAGTGTGAACTACACTAGAGAAAGAATTATAAGCTCTTCAGACAGATAAAAAACATTGTGCAGTATGGAAGAGGTCACTACCTGGTACAGCAAAGTTTTTTGGACATTATATTTCAGGTTTTTTTCTGACATGCAAGGAAAAGATCACTATTAAATTACATGTTCCATGGTATAGTATAATTTGAACACATTAAAACAAATCAAGGCAACAAGTTCAAGAATTCCAAGAACTAAATCAGGTATGTTGCTATGTATTTCAAGAGGATTTAAGAATGAATACCATTTGATAGCCTGCAAGCCACATAAGCAATGTACAACACTCAGATTTCTACTCCTTAATACATTATGTAGAATTACCTTAACAGAAGTTCTTTGGGTAGTTTTTTGTTAATAAGGGCTTCATCATTATTTGAGAAAACCTAGAAACAGACAGAAAAAACACCATTTTAAAGACCAACAAGAAAAACATCTTTGAAAGAGGCTTTTCATCTTTTATTTAGGTGCTTAATGCCTTAAAATTACTGTTAAGGTCAAGATTTCAACATATTAGTTGTTAATATGATAAAATTATTTCAATCTTCAAAATAAGGCCACACCTCCCACATACACCTGCTCTTCCCTAGTGCTAAGATTCAACCGAACAAAAATTGTGGAGCAACTTAATAACCATGAAACAAGCAACCAGAAACACACTTATACCACATAAAGAAGTATTTTAGGCAGTAGGGAAACCTGGAGCAATAGGAAGACACATACAAACACACTAGTTGCACAGTCCTAAAACTGGCCCACTCTCCAGTCATTCAAGTCACTCCCTACAGTGCAAATACTTTGGCTACAAATATGTGGGTATAGATAAAATATAATAATCTATAGACTTAAATAATATAGTGCCACAGATAGGATAGCAACTGCTATATAAGCAAAAGAAGCATGTCAAGACATGCTACAAGAGAAACTGAAAATACCTGTCACCCAGAACTTCTTTTTATTAACATATATCCTAAGAAAAAGAAAATGGAGAGACTAAAAGAAAACGCCGAGGGGAAAAAGCAGGCAATAGCTAAGATTGTATAGGAAAATGTTTCTACAAAAGGAGAAAAGGATCAGTCAATAGTAAAATAGAAAGACTGAAAAAAGGAGATGCTGACCAGCTTTATAACTTACTGTAAATATTTAGGTTTGAGAAATTTTAACAGAGGAACACAGCAATAAACAAAACAACAGTGAAACAGTGAACTGGAATTTAAGGAATGATGGCAAAGACTAGAAGATGTCAAAGCCCCAAGCAACCACTTTCCATGTAAAGAAAAGACCTTTATGGGGTTCATTTGCTGTACAAAATACCAGAAACAAAAACTAGAGAGAAGGATCCCAAATAGATAAGTTTTCTGAATGCCAATAGGTAAATATGAAAATCATACAAAACAGAAACACGAAAAACAACTGGAAGGAATCTTCTCCCTTCACTAAGAATATGCTGTTCCTGACTCAAGCATCAGGGTATCATCCCTTGTTCATCCTACCATCCACACACATGACATATTTGACAACTATTTGCTTTCTTCCTTGGTTTAAAAAAAAAAAAAAAAAAAGGAAGCGCAAAAAGAAGGTCCATCAAAGCAAAGAATGAAAAAGAAGTCAAATATAAGCTTGGCTCTGTCTTCATAAAAGAAGGGAGACAGCAGAAAGTACATATCTGGGAATTTTGAAAATATCTCCCTCAAAAATACTATTAGATTTGAAAACTTCAACTTCCTTCTGGCCTCTGTCAAGAACTCTTTTTCTCTTCCAGTACATCCTAGGCTGATTCCACGTCTACCTGCATTCTACTGTTTCAATTTTGACACAGATTTCTTCACTCACTACCTCTGTGCACAGTTATCCACATATCTAAGAACAATAAAACTGTCAACTTTCAATAGGACTGAGAAGTTTAATCGAGCTTCCTTTTCTGGGAACTGGAGCAGCACAGTTATTCACAGACTAAGGACTACAGACATTGTAAGCATAAAACAACCATGCATATATATGTCAATAGGACAATTCCAGTTCCTTCAGAAGAGAGGCAATGGCTTTAAGCAGTTCCACATGGTTGACCACAGGTTAAGCTTTGCTCTGGTTGTGCTTTATATCCAACATCCGTTGCTGTTGATATTTTCAGCCTTTAGGCTGAAATACACCATGTACATCAACACCGTTTTTAGAACTGGTTGACTGCTTCTGAGTTTGGCAACTGATAGGTTTATGAACTAATTGCATGCATGCCATTTTAATATTATATGCTACTCACAGTTAGCAGCTTCTAGCCTGAAAACAATAGCATAAATAGGGATTCATTTTTTTAAAAAAGAATAGTCAAAACATAGGCCTAATTGTGTTTACTGCAGCACTCATTCAGAAAAAGGGGACACATAGGCCATTCTCATAGAACTTAAGCTCACTGAAGAGCAAAGCGAGGAAGTATTCTTGTGCACTACAGGTTAAAATAATAAGTTGCAAAAAAAAAAAAAAGTTACCTCTGGGAAAGCACACAAGATTTGTGGTAAAACAGACAAGTGAACTTAGATCTCATTAATTCTGGTTCAGAATCTGAACATTCAGTATCACAGACTACGAAAAATCCTCTTAATTATTTTCCAGTTGCAGATAATTCTTCAAAAGTTACATCATCTAGCATACACTTCCCACATATATTTTTAAATAAAGCTACTTTGTGGACTCCTATTAGTTTACATGTGTGTGCCCTCACTTTGCCTGTATAAAAGCTGTTATTATCCAGTTTTTCTTCACACCATAGATTCTCATATATATCTCATATGGAGATACATACAAATATGCTCACTGTGTGAGGGTAACACAACATTAAGTTGGTAAGGTATGAGGCAAGTTACTATTTAACACAAAGAGCTATGATGTGTGCTCATGCCTTTAGAGTATTTCCAACTACTCATCAGCTCCTGCATTAAAAAGTCAAATCACCACAAATCATAGCACAGTTTTTTGGGAATAGTAAGTATTTTTCTACTCGGGCCAAGCTGAAATGTACAATCAAAGCTAAACATACAATCAAACTGGCAACTCTCATGGGAAAAAGGCTTATTAAAATCTTTATGTAAGATGATAAATCTAAAGTTCAAGTTGGACAGACAAATTATTTTAAATACATGACAGCATATCTGACCAATATGGTTCATTTAGGAATCCCAGTTAAAATTGGAAAAAAATGCAGCTTTTACTACATACTACAAGTGTGTGATGTATTCAGCCCCACAAAGTACCACACCTACCACACAAGTCACAGATTTGGCCACAAACAGATTCAAAGCTGTTTTCCCTCAGACAGTAACTTTTATGTGTTCTTGTACACGTTAGCTACAATTCTCGTATGACAAAAGATTATTTTTATGGAATAAGTACATTTAGAAAAATGAAGGTGTCTCTTTATAGTATTCTTTTACTCTGTGCAAGTTTATTAGCCGCTAGAGCCACATTGCATTTGCATCTCAGAGGAAGCAAGAGGCTTCTTTAAAGGCTCTTCAATACGTTTTTCCCGAATGGAGAACAGACACGGGACAACTGAGGCAGTCATCTTCTAGATGAACACTTGTAATGTGATTTTTAATGCATGCAAGCAGAGAGAAAAGACAGAGAGTGCCAACAGGATAATATATTTATTCTTTGAACAGTTCCTGATAATTTAAAACTTCCGTTAATGAAACAAATACCCTGGTACATTCATGTATCACGTCTCTGAAGAAAATAGTGCTGTCAATTTTTACTTCATTTTTATTACATAACCTCTAGTTTTCTGTTTATTAAAAAAAAAAATCCACCAAAAACAATCAGTCAAGGAAGTGTTCAATCACTGTAAAAAATATTCTAGTATTCTTGTCAAATATAATTTATTTTTCTTCAGTTACAGACGGTACTGACAATGACATGCCCTCAAAATACCTGTACACAGTAATCCAAAACAGCAATTAAGAATACCCTGAATGTAGAAAGAATATTTCTTCTCTCTTTGCTTTTGCATTTCGTAGCAAGTTTGACCGTGTTAACAACAGGGTATCTCAAACTCTAGAAAAGTGTGGGTTTAACTGTAAAATGTAAACATAAGAAGAAATACAGATCTCTACATTCCTAAAGGAATTGCGAGAACAAACAAAACAAAACCCAAAAGAGAAAATTCTAGTTGCTTATTCCTTGAATCTTGAGCCATTTCTTACATTCCTTGACTGACCTCTCTTGGTAGTATCTTCACTGTTCTTTTGAAAGATTGGTTATAATGAGCTAAAAAGGCAGTATTTTCTTGAAAAATTTCCCGATACTTTTGTACGCTAAATTTCTTCAGCAACTACACTTTTTAAAACTTTCTTTATCATATAAATAAAGTATCCATTTGTGTAAATCTGTCAAACACAAAAAGAATAATCTCCCTATTTTCCTTCCCCTTTCATGTTATTAAACATACTAATTGCCACTAGTCCTAGAACATAACTCCTTGGTACCCCACAGTTAGCTTGCCACCATTGAAAGCAACACATATTAATCTCTTCTGGTCTAACAGTTAGTGATAAAGGTCTCCTGTTTCCATGAAAATTAGTGATATGAAGAAATCTTTTCTGATAGAGTTATTTCAAGATCAAAATAAAGTTATACTATTAATTTTGGTGATAGTCCTTATGTTTTTTTAAGGATGCAATTTCAGTTGTCATTCAGTCCTCTACTAAAGAGGGCTATTTTCTTTACAGATGAAACAGTTTTGCTAGCAGCTCATCCATTATGGCTCGGTTCCACAGAGATATTTATGTATCTAATTTCCATTGAAATCAGAGTAGATAAGGACTTTCAACCTGTCAACTTTTCAAATCAAAAGTTATTAAAAACCCAGACGCTCAAAAATAGCCTTGCTTAGTAGCACGCTAAAGGAAATATGGGCAAAAGTAGATTTGGAAAGATGGAAGATGAACTGTGAAAGACTCTAAAGAGCATCAGCAAAAAGAGAAGACATATATACTGAAAACAAAGCTGAAGTATTTATCAAGTCAGGAAAAAAAACCAATATTGGGTCATTTTGACCAAAGGAGACAGTAGGTTAGAATTAAATCCATGTATTTCCCCTCCATGGTTGACAGAGCACATATCCTAGTTAAACTGTAAATATTGCCATATGTATAAAGCATCAAGTCTCTCAGGTTTTCACTGGCAAGAACAGTATTTATTAAATATTATTTATGTAGCACTAGACATGGTAAAAACAAGATGTTTCAAAGGAAAATCCTGACAAAATAAAATTAAAGTTTTATTCAGTTCCCCTGATGTGCAGATTTTTGTTGACAAACACAAAACCCAGAAGCCTGCTGCACTTCTCCTCCTCAGTGGAGACACATAATTGTTGCCAGAGCAATCTTCCCTT